AAGTCAGAAGGAAAGTCCAGTAGCAGTAGTCACAGAGTTTTAAATAGCGAGTGTGTGTCTGTGTGTGTCTGTGAGAGACAGAGAGAATGGGGGGTGGGGGGTGATAGGTTATAGAGAGTTCACTCAGCTTACATTTGGTTAAAATGAAACCACACACAGCAGAAGCACTTCGCACTTACTGCCACACATGTTGAGTGAATATTATTGCACTTTGTAAAGAAGACATAACTGAGCCTTGTTCAATGGATTGTGTACAAAACAACACTGTGTATACACAAATAATCATTTGACACTAGTATTTGATATGATAATACACTCCCACCAAGCGGTTGTACAGTTAATGAATCAGATGGTTTTTACACCTACACTTTATTTTGATGGATTGATTTACTAAAACTTAAAGCTGGTATAAGGCCAATTTTTTTCTATTAATAATTGGTCATTAACAGTGTGTGTAATGTGAAAGGTGTCACCCCCTTCAGCCATGGAGCCTTTCTGCACTGCCATCAGTGCCCTTTCATGACATATAGAAGGCAGCTGTTTTCAGCAAAGACATCTGATAATCCCACTGTGTGGTACCTGCCCAGCACCAAACAGCAGAGAGATGACGTTAGCCATTAGCTGGTGAACACAATGAACCATTCAGCTAATGTGCTAAGGAACAAGTTTATTCACTCAGGATTTAACTTTGTCAGTTGGCCAGATACACGGTTTCAAATGAATGCTAATGTTTACTCTAAGCAAAGGTTTGCCAATACATTCATCCATAGCAACTATATGCTGTGATGTCAATTTTGTGTTTATATCTTGATTCTGCTACCCACGAGAGGCCAGAAAATCCATGAACGCAGCTTCAATTTTAATACAAAATAATATGTTTTCAGCAAAGACATCTGATAATCCCACTGTGTGGTACCTGCCCAGCACCAAACAGCAGAGAGATGACGTTAGCCATTAGCTGGTGAACACAATGAACCATTCAGCTAATGTGCTAAGGAACAAGTTTATTCACTCAGGATTTAACTTTGTCAGTTGGCCAGATACACGGTTTCAAATGAATGCTAATGTTTACTCTAAGCAAAGGTTTGCCAATACATTCATCCATAGCAACTATATGCTGTGATGTCAATTTTGTGTTTATATCTTGATTCTGCTACCCACGAGAGGTCAGAAAATCCATGAACGCAGCTTCAATTTTAATACAAAACAATATGCTGCTTAAATAAAACTGATTTTTTTTCCAAATTGGCTGGAGTGATATATTCATTAAAACTTCATGAAAGTACATTTCAGTACAGTTCTGTCCCTAAACTGCCTTGTGTTTTAGATGGTTTTTGTAAAGTTAACGTCTCACTCCTGTACTTCTCGCAGTCGGTTGCAACTTCACAATCACAAGCCGAAAAGTTAGTGCAAATCCACTGGGAAACACCAGCCCTCAAAGAAGTGAACCTGAAGTGTTCCAAAAGCGGCAAATACTCTAAACATACAATGCATATATTGAAGTTTTGTGAAAAGCTTACATTCAGAGCTCCATTTCAAATGACGCTGCCTTTGTTTAAAGTTGTTTATTACAGTATATGTACAGTATACTATACTTGTCATCTGTCCTCAAGTATTTTGTTTGTCTTCCAGTAAAGACAATTTCAGTTAGTGAATGTAGGTGGGTGTGCGCGCGCCTGCTTGTCTTTTGTGTGCATCTTGATGTACTGTGTGTGTGCATCACAGAGCAAACAGAGAAAACTGAGCTATGCAGGGTTTCTCTTGTATAATAACTGAGCGCTTTAGTGAGGCTGGTTGAATTTTAATAGAGTATCTGCAGGGTATTCCATCGCCTCTGGTCCCAGGGCTCAAAGATCAGAGAGAATTTTCAAGCACGGTGTCCCTCAGCCTCTCACACTCAGTCTTTCTCATTCTTACGCTCTTCTTCCCTTTTCCTTCACTTCTCTTCCCACTTTTTTGCACTCTCCTACTTTTCCCATTTTGATCTTACTTTTCCAACCCTTTCCTTCCTCTTGGGCTTTTGTGTCTCTCTCTTAATCTCTCTCTGTGTCTCACACTTTCTGTTGCTTTCTCTCCTCTGCTCTGTCTTCTTGTGAAATTTGTATTTGAGCCACTCGAGGCACAATTATTGCTAAGCCTCTCTCAGTTCCCTGGCAGAGAACAACCCATGACTCTCAGCACAAAAACGTCCTACTGAAGGACAAAATGCTGCTATGAACTTTTAAAATCATGCACAATGGCTGACAAAACGTGTAGTTAGATTATAAAACAAAAAGCTAATTTTCTCACTGCCTCACAGCCATTAAAGGAATTTTATACTTTTTTTTTTTTAACTCACATCTAATTTCAGCAAGCTCACAATTTTTGGAAGATATTACAGATTTATAATTCAGGCATTGCATTTACATACATACACACCAGCACTACCAGACACATAGGCGTAGGTTACAAGCAGCAAGTTGAGCTAATGAATCCTAAAGACCAGAGTTTGGAAGGAATTAAACAAAGGGTGGCATGAAAAAAATGTACAAATGGAGATAGGAAGGTAAGTAACATTTGGCAGAAGCACCTCAAGAAAAAAAAAAACTAAAAAAATCTTTAATGGCAGCTGTAGTTTGAGTTTTTTGTTTCATGTGTGTGTATGTTGAAAGTTGGCAAGAGACTGCATTTCACTACTGCATTGCCATATTGCTCGGCAATTTGATAAATAAAGATCATTTATAGAAGGGCGGAGTGTATGCTTCACTGGAAGTGTGCCAGATACAGCACGGTGAAGGTTGAACAGGTTTTAATATCAATTATGTCATATTTAAAAAATCAGCTGTACCAAAGAGTATGCAAAATGAAAGCTGGTAAAGTATAAGGCTTTGTGCTTACTTTAATCTCATAATAACAAGAATACTAGTACACACAACACACACACAATCCCAAAACACCATTTTTGCCCCTGACCTCACTACAGGAGCATGTAATTGACAAAGCTTCACAATCAACAGCTCTGTGTGACCTGCAATTAATAGTCCAGATTATATTCACGAGGAAAGCATCGTCAACAAGCTGCGGCCTTCTTCATGCAAATAACACACAACCTTGTGTGACCTGTGGCCTAATGATTTCTCACGCACTGATGACTTTGGTACTGTAGCGAGGCCGCAGATGTGAGCAACCCAAATATCACAAGGCAAATACTGTATGAGGATTAAAAAGAAAGTCTGTCAGCCGTGTGTGTACAGTACATTGTGTTCACATCATTAGCTGCTCAGGGTTCATGTTTGAGATATATAGTACCTGACACGACAGTAAAAAACACGAGCTTTGAAGTGACAGACAGACAGACAGGTGTGAGAGCGGGGAGGCAGGTTCTAGCCTAACAGGTAACATATTGTTCAAGTCAGCATGTTTTTGCATGCCTTAGGTTATAATACAAATATGTCAGTTATGAGGTCACAGAGTGCGCTTCTTATATGACACAGTTGTTAGGTTCAAAAATATCTTTGAGAAAACATGTCAACGTCCGGCACCTAGTCTTTAGTGCATTTAGACCACAACAGATAGCACATGTTTATGTGCTGCCTACTGCTGCCCTCATGTGGCAGCAAGAGTTGTAGCAACTGTGGAAAACAAAATATGTAATTTCTCATCTACTGTATATTTAGATCTGTTTGAAATTCTCTTTTCAGCACAAAGATAGCGAAGATTTAATTTAGGAGTGCTTTAGTGTACAACCATTCGCAGTTTCTGTGTCTTTCATGTACACTCCTACACTCGCTCCTCAAGGTCAACAGCTAACACTGTTCCTAGAGTAGGTTAAATGGCATCCTGATGCTAGAACTAACTTTTATCATAGTTCTTAACTGGTCAGTATTTTAACTTGCCTTCATGGTGAAAGCTTACTAAGCTCTTCAATCCTATATTTCTAGTATACAACAGTCACATCGCCCATGTTCCCACGCTGAAGATCCTTTGTCAGCTATATTAAATTTTCTGCACTTTTGTCTCGATCCGCGCTGCTTTTATAGTTTAAAGTCATTCATTACTTAGAACAATGGATACACTCATACCTGTTCCTCTCATATGTTGCCTGTTCAACATTAAACATCTTCCACATTTCCTCTGAGAACAGCTGCATCCCTTTGCCCACCCCTTAGTGCTACTGTATATATATAGCAAGGCTGTTAAAACAAAAACAAGCAATCAATCAAAAACAGCAACTCAATTTTCCCTTAAGAGAAGGGACTAATGTTCATGAAAGACGATCTAACAGGGTATACTTACATGACACCTTTCATTTGATCTTCTATTGCTTCCTTCTTACGGATAAATGTCAGTTTGTGTCATATCAGCAGCTATAAGTTTTATTTAGGTTTTATCAAAATTTGCCATTTACAACATGTGCAAAATCACATTAAACCATTACTGCTGTTTTTATTAGCAATATCAGCTTGTTTTAACAAATTAATGGAATTAGTTTTAATTTCAAATATAAAAATAATCATTGTTTGGAATCAGGACTAAATCAAATGTGGCTGGAGCATCAACATATTTCCATGATTATATGAAGGCCTACTGGTATACAATGATATTTACTGGTCATCTGTTAATACCGTGTATACTGCTATTGGGATTGTTACTAAAATATTTGGCCATGATTTTTTAAATAATGGATAATTAATGTCAGTTTTAATCATCTTGACCATGTCTCTGTGGGTTTAGGCAGTCAGTATCTGTTTACCTGTAAGCATGCAGATCTAAATATGCTGTACTTATTTAAATAATATAGAACAATAATTTGATTCCAAATTTTCACTTCACTGAAATAAGCAGCCAAACTGTGAATTAAAGTAAACTCTAAACTGGACTCCTAAATCATCATTACCGTATGTGACTACATCACTAACCATTTTTAATAATCGAAGAGTTTTACATTGTGCCTGAGTAGAAATCTGACACAAATGGTGGCATTCAGTGATGCATCTGAATCAAACAATGGTTCTTTGATGCTGAACAGCTGCTCTGAGTCACAACCACTACAAGTCTAAACACACAAGAGAACTCCCAAACACAATTTCTCATCTGAACCTCATATATTGCAGGAAAAACAGTTTATGTTACAGTTCACCATGGCAGAAACATATCAAAAGAATACTTCATCAAAAATAATCATAGACACAATGAAGGGTTACAGACAAGTCTTTCTTCAGTGTGAGTGCATAATAATCACTATATTACACAACAATCATTAGCAAGCCAAACATTTGATTCTCCATTATCACCTCGAAGAATAATGCATGTAAGAAAAATCAGCAAAGTAGAGAACTTAATCATGTTTCACCCTTCTTTAAAGCCTCTATGTTACGAACTCTTATATGTCTACAGCATGTGTCAAATTACTTTGCTTGCATACAGACAATCCGTCATTTCTTTAGTACAGCCACAGGAGGGCGCCAAGGTTTTCACATCCTAGATCTAGGAGATTAGGCATAGCAAAAGTACATAATTAAACAGATTCACATCATATAAGGAGACGTCTCAGGATATCCCAGATACACTGGACAGCACCCTTCTTCTCAAAGCTTATATGCTGATTCAGGAGTTAAAAAAGCCTCACACCAAAAGATGTAAAGCTGATTTTCTTTAAATTTAATGTACCAGGCTAAACTTGCATGCTTCAGGTTTTGAAGTGCAATTCACATCAAAGTTTAGAAATGCGCCAATGCATCGCTCTTATTTTCAGGACACCCATTGTGTCAACCTTTATCATTACTCCTGGTGTGTATAAGAGAGCCTGAGGGGCTACCTGTCAACTCTTTGCTGAACAACTATGGTCCCCGCCACAATGTCATACACAGTCCTGTTGTGCTGGAAGAAGAGGAGAGTGATGAAGACGGGAAAGAGGAAGGCAATAGAGATGTTCTTATTCAGCGCCCGCACTGTAGAGCTGTGAACATTGAGACAAAAAAACAAAACAAAACCAGAACCTGAATTGAAAAGTCCTACAAAGACGATCTACAAGAAACGCTGCTTTGTGTGTTAGACACCACAATCGACTCCAACGCGAACAATCGAATGTTCAGTTTAAAGGCAAATATAGATCAAGATATTTCATAAAATTTCATCTACATGGTTATAAAATGCATGCGACCACTCACGCAGAGAGGGAGACATTAGATGCTGGGAAAACAAGGACTCGGTTGGGTTGGACCAGAGTGGTTGTGTCACATGTCACCACCCGCAGGCCAAGCAGGAACTTCCCCGGTGTGGCACCGCCAGCGCCCCATATACAGAATATCTGATTAGAAGATGAGGATAAAAGTCAGACAACTCTGAGTGCAGTTTTTCTCTGTTCCCAGTGTGTGGCTTTGATCGCCAAAATCCAGCTGACTCCTGGTCATGCTAATAAATTGTAATATATCTTGGGATACTGGCAGATTAATGATAGAGAGAAGAGATTAATGATACCACACACACAGCAGTAAAAACACAAGAAATTAATTTTCAAGTCCTCACAAAGAAGAGTAAAGGGAAACACTACAGCATTAGTCTGTGCAGAGGGGCCTGAATGTCCCACTGTTAGATGCCACCTGGGAAAACAAGCTACTGATATATGACTTAATCTCAGGCAACTATGAATGCAACATTGCATCACTGTCCTCACTGGGGAACAGTGTTGTGCTAAGAACTCTGGCTCTGCCTTACCTCTCATTAAACAAGAGCATGTGTTAATGAGACCGCTCATAGCAACTGCAGATGGACAAACTGGGGAATGTTACATATTCTAACTAAGTATTTTGTTTTTATTACAAATAAAAATAGTGTTCTAAGAGGCTGGAGTGTTTCTGTTCTGCTGGGATTAACCTGTATAATAAGCAGCATTACATTAAGAAGACCCTTACTCTTCAGCAGTTGCATTAACCCCATTACCAAGGAAGTGTGAAATGTAACTCACCTCGTAGACACACACTAGCACCCTGTAGACCAGAGCTATAACCATCATCTTCTGCAGGTCCTCCATGGACGTGTTCTCATCTATCTCCTCCACAATGAACTGTGTAATAAATTTGGTAATGTCCCTTTAAACAGGAGGAGAGTATACCTGTATGAGGATGGATCTGGGGAATGGTAATACAACTTGGCATTAAAGTAATGATGGTCATGCAAATTCTTTATTTTTCATCCTGTAACTGAAACACAGCTTTGAATTCTTTAATGTACAGTTTCAAACCGCTCCGTCTCCTTGAACACTGTCCAGTAGCTTTACTTACTTCATCCCAGTCAAATGCATGATCCACAGCACTATGGTGGCCTTCACACAAAATAGGATAAAGAAGTCCACTGTCTCTGCTAGGAACCTCTGGAGAGGAGAGGGGATGGTGTATTCCCGTCCTGTGAGGCAAATGGAAAGACAAGTGAATATGCTAAGAATTTCACTTAACCCGCTCAAATAAATGACCTAAAATAACTACTGTATTGTAGGCCTGCTGAAAGTTTCCAAAGGCTTGCAGTGGACTGGGTGAGCCCTTGGAATAACTCTAAGCATATAAGCTTGTTTTCCAGGCTCCATAGACTTAAGCCTGCCACCCAGCAGACCTAGTTTGCCTAGCGCACACAAGACTACCGCAGGCTGAAAGACAACAAAGAGGACCAGCATTACCTGCCTGAGGTGGATTCCCATTCTGCTGCTGCTGGGCTGGCCGGGCATCAGTAGGCTGGGTCGTGGACGCGGCTGAGGTCTGCACGGCCTGTGCACCACCTGGGTGAGAGGAGGATGCGGGGAAGCTGAACTGGTACTGGTAGCTCTGCCAGTTTCCCGTGTCAGAACCCTGCTGTTCACAGCCGGAGTTCGAGGCAGGTGTACACGGTGTCCGAGTACTACTTGCCCCCGGCAGAGGGAAACTGCAAGGAGGAGGAAAGGGGAAGGCCAACAGAGCCAGCCAGCTGTGCCAGGTAGCAGACCCCGAGTAATAATGCCACATCCACTGCTGCAACTGTGCGCAGTATTCCTTTGTTGCAGTGGTTTGAGGCTGCTTTGCGTCAGCTTCAGGGCCATCACGGTGGTTGTCACTTGTTGTCGGAAACATAGCTGACCCACTTTTCGGGATCCTGTAATTTGCCATGAATATCTTTTAGAGACGTCTCTACAACCTCAGCTCATCGTCCATCTGCTCCGTTCATTCGCTCTGTGCAGGTAGTTGACACGGCGCCAGCTAAGTCTTTGTAAATACAGGGACCTCGGAAATCGATAGACAGTAACACCTGTCTCCCTACATCGGTGTCATACTATAATATTTTTTATAATTCTGAATAGACCATTATTTATCATCTATAAGCACATTGTCTACGTTGTCTGTGCTCAGAAAAAAACGATCTTTTTGTGGCAACAGCTAACAGTAGCCCCCTTTCAGTCATTAATGGTATGACCCACTTAAAGGCGCATTCTGTGTATTTTCCGCATGATCGGTAGCTATCGGCTCCATCATCCTCATCTTCTTCTTCTTCTTTCGGCTGTTTCCCGTTTGGGGGCGACC